GCCCTGGGTCCGCCAGGAGAAGGGCGGGGTATAAATCTAATAAAATCAAAAAAAAAATCACAAAAATCACAAAAACAAAGTCTTGCAGGTCTGAATGCATTCCCTCCTTTCTCTTTTTAATCAAATTTGTGTCTTACTCCTGTTCTTCCAGGCTGTTCTTTCTACCCTCCAGAGATTTTGCCCTATATCTCCTAACATCTTCATCGCAATCCAATGCTTCTGGAGGGCCACAGGCTGCAGAAAATTGTAACCCAGGAATTGCTTGAACAAACAAACTAGGAGATAGGAAATACTCTGTTCGGCCCTCACTTGTACTACTGCAGCGATGATTGTTTTAATTGCTACTACTCTGGTTTTCTACACGTTTATAGGAAGGGGGTAGAACATTTGAAGCATTATAGATAGAACACTACAAGGCAGGTGAGGACCATCCCTGTCTAAGGCTACCCCCCCCAGAACAATCACAAACAGAAAGCCAGGCAGAAGCAACATTTTGCCTTCTAGCTTATGTTCCAGATCTCTGCTTGCAAAACAAAAACAAAACTCCAAACCCTTATACATGCATCCACATGAATATAGGTCAGATTCTGCCTGCAGAGTTCACACTTGTCCTAGGCTCAACATTGGCTCCCTGGATCAAAGAAGAGAGGGAGCCTCCGCCCCTCGCTTTGTGGTTTGGATCAAACTAAGTCAGGAAAGTCAGTTTGGTGTACTGTAGGGGTTAAGACAGCAGGCTAGAAGGAACACCATGAGTTCTAGTCCTGCCTTAAGCACAGTGCCAACTGGGTGGCTTTGAGCCAGTCCCTCTCTCTGTGTCCTGGGAAATAGGCAATGCCCAACCACTTTTGAGAAAAGCGCAGAGACATGTCAGGAGACAACACTGAGTCAAAGACACAAAATAGATATTAAATAAAAATCCCAATATACCAGGGCTAGCGCAACATGACTGAATCTGGATCCAGAAACTAAGAGAGCAACAAGCTGAATCTTAATTTTGAGAAGGCAAATATTGCCTACAACAGAATGACAGCAAGCTGGTTTGGATAGGATAGGATGGGACGGGATGGGATAGGATAGGATAGGATACAGGTAGTCCTCCATTTACGACCACAATTGAGCCCAAACTTTATGTTGCAATGTGAGAAATTTGTTAAGTAAGTTTTGCCTCATTTCACGACTTTTCTTGCCACATTTGTTAAGCGAATCACTGCAATTGTTAAATTAGTAACATGGTTGTTAAGTGAATCTGGTTTCCCCATTGACTTTGCCTGTCAGAAGGTTGCAAAAGGGGATCACATGACCCCGGGATACTGCAACCGTCATAAATATAAATCAGTTGTCAAACATATGAATGTAAATCACATGACTACAGGGATGCTGCAGTAGTCACAAGTGTGAAAAATAGTCATAAGTCACTTTTTTCAGTGCTGTTGTAACTTCAAATGGTCATTAAATGAACTGTTGTAAGTTGAGGACTAACTGTGGCATGAACTGCACTGCACACATCCAGGACTATAATCTCCCAGAGGCGAGGCAAAGAAAGGGCCAAGAAAATCAAAGGGATCAAATATTCCTGTCAAAGTTAAGACATCAAGACCACTTCACTTTTTTTTTACTTAGTAAGCTGTTTTACAAAAAAAAAAAAAAAAAAAAAATCCAATGGTTTTTTCTGGTCCTGCCTTCTGACTCATCAGTCATAGAAATAATCACTATTGTGACTGACATTGGGCTTTAAATGAGAGAAGTCACTTCTCTAATTCTATTGCAAGCTAATCATCTGGGATGTTACATTTTCCAAACTGAAAATATAAAGTCTATGGTATCCTCACATGGCTGGGATTATAGCTCACATTATTTTAAAATTTGCTTCGGGGATTTTAGCCTATACCTTGCAAAAATAAAAACTGGGTCTTTGACTTGAGCAAAAAGTCAATCTCCAATGAAAAATAATTATAAAGGATCCTGATAGACTGACGGGGGAAAAAAGTTACTTTTTTAGGAAATCTACTTGGGGAATCCAGTCCTATAATGAATGACCCACTGCCTTGAATGGATTTACTTCCCGAATCACGCTGGTTCCCTTAATCCTTTGCTGACTTCTCACATCAGTCGATATATTTAGAGACAGTTAATTATTTTTTCATCTCGATTGCGTGTTTCTTGGCACTTCGAGGGTGTTTTCTTTAAGCGCCAGTCAACAAAGGAGGAGAAGCAGCAAAACAAGAAGGCGTATCCGCCACAAAAAAATTTACTGTTAACTGTTTTGCTTGGAAGCGACAATTTGCGCAGAAGGCGGGCAAGCAACACGCGCCCCGAGGCTGCGTTTCTCAACTGGGCCAGCAAGGGGCGCTCGAAGCACGAAGGAATACTGACAGCCGAGGTTGAATTTTAAAAAGCGGAGCTCGGAGAAAAACTGCAGGTTTCTCATCTTCCCGGCGACGGCAAAGGGGAGGACGAGCTCCGGCAGGTTCTTTTATTGCCCCACTGAAAAATCAATGCCGGATTAAAGCGGCTCGGAGGCCACAGGGCCGGCGGAGAAGCGAGAAACGTGTCTGCTTCCCTTCGCTCT